GAGCTGGCCCCAGGGAGGGGCCACTTGCCTCTCCCTCCCTTCCTTCCTTCCCTCCCCATCTCCAGCTGCCTCCCTCTTCCCGCTCCACCACAATCACCCACACATGCAATATTACGTGCTGCACAATAATGTTTAATATTTATTGCTATACATCGTGATGGTGTTGTTTATTATATTGCTGTTTTTGTTTGCTTGTTTTCGCTCTTTTTTTCCTCTCAACAGGTGATTCAGGTGATATATACAAAAATATGTATTTTTTGCTATTAGCCCTAGTGTTAATACTGTCTGTGTTCTGCTCACACATTCTTGCTTACAACTGGAGGGTACTGTCACATCCGGTGTGGCAGACGTGTGAAGTTTGTAGAAAGGACCCAAAATGCAGCAGCTCTGGTGCAGGTGAGTATTTATTGAACAGAGTAGATACAAACAGAAGTGGCGGGTGAACATGAAACTGGAAAACCTAAACTGGGCAAAACTAATAAAACAAACCAGAACGAAGATGCAGGGACGGAGGAAAGAGACGCAGGGAGACCGAGGGGAACAACACAGACGAACCAGCAACTAACAGAGGCAGACACGAGGTTTGAATACACAGAAGGATAATGAGGGAATGAGACACAAAAGGAGGGCACAGCTGGGAGTAATCCGACCTGACGAGACAGGGGAAAAGTAAACTGAACACACTGAGATCAGACACGGATCTTCAAAGTAAAACAGGAAACACATACACGTAATGACATAACACACAACCTTAACACAGACCGGGGGACACAGAACATAAGAGCATGAACCATGAAACAGAAGAGTACAAACACCCAAGGTAACCAAAACCACAGAATAATAATAAACTGAAACATAAACACGGAGTCACAGACTCTGGATCATGACAGGTACGTCGTAGTATTTCGGGTTTTGTATTGTCGCTTCCCTGTATATAGCCCTGCCCCTTAGTGTTCAAGTGTGTAGTTGTTTCACCCAGTGTTGTGTATAGCCACTGTCTCACGCACATTGTATTAAAACACTTAAGAATAGAATAAAATCCATAATAGAATGACAAAATAAAGAATAAAAACAAAAAAGCACAAGATGAAATAAACAAACAATAGGTTCACAATGAATATGCGGATTTGAACAGATCGGTTTTGAGTTGGGATTTAAACTGGGAGAGAGAACCAGTGTTTCTTGTATGAATCCACATACATCTCCTTCAGCAGTCATATTTCCACACTTCCTCTGCTCACACACGCTCCTCTTCTGCCACTCACACTTTCGCTCCTCTCAAGCCAGTTCACACTGCTGCACTCAGGGATCCACGGAAAGGTTCACAGACAAGTCCGGGGAATGTATATACAGAAACAAGTATTAATATGAGCCAGAAATACACAACGTGCCAGGGCTGCACAAACTCACAGTGTTCAGTGATCCAATAATGAGACGCTCTGAGCCACAGACTCAAATAGTGGGTGAGGAGACAGGACTAATCAGCAGCAGGTGGTGGCAATCAGAGCAGGTATGTGGGCCAAGGGCGGGGACCCCAATAATAATAATAAATTACACACCGGTTTATTATTAATTTTAGTGACCTCTAAAATTAATAATTTTAATAATTAATAATTGATTTAACCAGGTGTCATTACTGATGAGGCGGATTATAATTTTACAGAAGTTACATTTATTTTTAACAAGCAGTTACCGGGTTCCCTCAGTGTCGCCTGCTCTGGTCCCTGGAAGACAATTGACTGTGGTTGCTAGTATCTGTAGAATCACGTCTCAAATTAGAATCGCCAATAATCCAGAGTTTGTTCCGCTTAGTGGGTAAAAATGATTCAAGCCATGTTGGTGGCGTACCAGGGGCTTCTGTTTAGGACTATGCTTCCTCCTGACTGTCACCCAACAATCCTGTTTACCAGCCGCTTGGGACAACCTGCTGGGTGAGAACTAATGGTGGCTATGCTACATGCAGCCGTACCATCTATAGGGGCCTTGTTAGCTACAGTGGCGTGGAGCCAGGTCTCCAGTTCAGCATTCCTGGACTACAGAGTTGTAAACAGGCTGCATTTATGACAAATATCATTATTATTAAAGGAGGCCAATGAGTAGCTAAACATATGACACACTAAGAAGCAGGACAGTGCAGGAGGGACAGGTGAAGAAGCCATGCTGCTAGCGAGTCGGCTACAAACTAAACTAAGCTGACAAATCTCTAAAGACACAGTGATAAATACTGTGAAACAACTAGTGGGTGATTCAGGAGAGAATGCACTTTGGATAAAGCATGTGACGATCACACAATGAAATAAGATGTTATCTGTGAGTTTTTCCTTAAAAAACACCACTGTGTGTTGTAACAGGAACAGGAAGTGATGCTCTAAGGCAGAGAGAGCCAATCCCACGTGAGAGCCTAAAATAAGTGGACTTATCAGTACTGATTTGTTAGTCTATTTTTTGTATGTATGATTGGTCCTAAAGACATACTGTTTACTATTATTCATACAAATATATGTTGGCTTTGTCATAGGAGTAGAATTTTGATGGAGCTCCATGTGCAGCATACCCATATGGAAAAGAAACAGTAAAAGCTTACATGATTTACTCATGAAAGTGGCCACTTTCTCATTACTTTCATATATTGTTTTAGGAAGTATCCAAAACATACAAGTTTCATATAATTTTTCAAGGGATCTTATATCTGTTTTCACTCTTATATGCTTTTCATACAAGTTTCACACAAGGCAGATACAAACTTTATAAGATTTATATATATATTTTCCATATGGGTATAAATGGTCTCCTGCTAAGTACAGCTGCAAATCACACCAACATAAGATATCATGTGACTTGGTGGATATTTCTGCCCAGATCCCCAGAAATGCTTCAGCCAGCGCTGCATTGAATGGTTGCATTTAAAATGTTCCAACATGCCTCTGAGCTGGGTGAAACGTGATTCCTGTGATGAGGTTTTTATTTATTTTTTATTTAGAGGGGGTTATAATCTGGCTCTCTTGTGTCATACCAAGCAGCATAATCTCTCTCTCGCTGTGTGTGTGTGTGTGTCTGTGTGTGTGTGTGTGTGTGTGCGCGCGCGCGCGCGCGCGCGCGAACTGTCTTTGTGAGAACCATCTTGACGTTTGTGGTGGACCTTTTAAGAACGGCAGAAAGTAATGTTTAAGGTTGGAGTTAGCATAGATACAGGGAATTCATTATCTGTCAGTCCTCACAGTGGCAGTCTTACTTGTATGTGTGTGTTTCCTCTCGGTGCATGCAGGCTGCAGATGTTCCTCTCGCGCTCTCTCGCTCGCGGGAAATAAGTGCAGGCAGAGTGCAGGATCACACACAGACACGTTCCTCTCCAGCTGCCTCGTGAGGCAGAGTGTGATGCCATGAGCGAGACAACGTCCATCCTCTGCTGACAACCATGAGCAACCGACTGATTCCTGCTGTAATGAACCGTCTGAAAAGGACTTTTAAGGGACTCGCCGGTAGATTCACGCAGTCAAGATGCGTTATTTGACCAAATCTCTGATTTTATTTCTATATTTTGCCATTACCGGGGAATGTTATAAGCACGTTCACCGGGTGCGAAGGTGGGCCGGTACTGGGGAGACCCCAAAGCATGGCACGTAAGTGAAAAATACAGAGACAATCAAAGCACGATTAACACGTGGAAATGTGGGTGACTCATCTTAGTAAATTATACGTTTAACAAAACTGTTTATGTCACAAACAAATGTGTTAGTTATCTTACATTAGATATGATGGTTAATGTAGATGCTAAAGATTAATGGATGGCGTGTGATGTTAGAAATATTTAATCTAAGGCGACATTAACCACAGCTGCTCTACCTAAAATCAGTTGAAATTGTTTAGCAAAGAATGGTGTTGATCAAAATGGTGTAGAGGCGTTTGAGTTGAAATTAAAGGTTTTGGCGTTGATTTATTTTAGATGTAAATAGTGTTTTTTAAAATCCCTGAACTTTGTGCACTGCATCAATAAGGTGTGGTCAGAGCTGAATGTCAGTGTGATTATATCTCCTGCTTATGATTATTAATCATTGTACTGGTTATTTTGATTATTTATGACTATTTATTCTTATATATGGCTTAACAGCAATCTATGGACTGCGCTGACTGTCAAAGTGCGCTACCAAACGTGTGTTCGCTGAATAATGCTCTTAATAGAAATTTCAGAATTAGAGACTTGTTCAAGGATGCACTGAGAGGTCGTCAGAGACCTCTAAAGAAGAAAGGCATCTGTAACTTGTTGAATTGCATAAAACAGCAAACAGACTTCTGTGTTAATGAGAAGTGGTGTAAGAGCAGAAGTAATATAGTGCACATGGTGTGATATTGATATATGGTTGCAGGAAATAATTTACAATACTTTAACATTTTCTATATTTCAGCAAAAATATAACCAAAACATCATCAGAATTTTATACAGATGCTAAAAGCCAATGCAGAGATCCTAGTTGAATAAAATACATGACAATATTGAAATTGGACTGGTTCTTATGTCCTGCTTTTTGCCTTGCTTGACCATTCGTTATTCCATTATATGTGCTTTATATATATTACATCCATTAATACAAGCATCTTTTTCTATGCCTGAGTGCTTTCTGTATAGCATTCACAGACATTGTGGGGTGGCTGTAGCTCAGGTGGTAGAGCAGGTCACCTACTCACCGGACGATTGGTGGTTCGATCCCAGGCTCCTCCAGTCTACATACCAAATATCCTTGGCGTGTAACCCCATGTTGCTCTCCGATGCATCCATTGGAGTGTGAATGCAAGTGAATGTTGGATAGAAGCACTAAAAACCTTAGATAAAGTGCTTGTGTGAGCAATGGGTATGATTGGGTGAATGCACGAGTTGAGTGCGCTCAGTGAGAGTAGAAAAGCGCTATATAAGAACCAGTCCATTTACCATTTATATTCTATCTGAGAGCAACTTGGGGGTTTTGGTAGTGTTGCCTCCCTAAGATGATGACCAGAGGGGCAACTGGTTTCCTGTTCAACAACGTGTGGCGCTGTGATAAAGAATAGAAAAAGGGACACACGTTGAGCTGATGCCAGTTTCACAACAGGAAGGTTTATTCTTCACAACAGCTTAGAACAGCTTCAGGTATCACCATACTAACTGCAAAGAAATGGCCTTATGTTTCAGTCCAGTTTACCATACATGGCCACAGTTCCATGAGCTAGAGACTGTATAAATCCCTCAATACAACTTTGACAAAACATAAACAAAATGTTGCTTAAATCCATTGATAATATCAGATCCACAATGTATCACAATAAACACATTTGTTTTACAAAGATAAACAAAACACAATAGTGTACTCTGTACTTCATTTTTAACTACATTTACAAACATCGTAAAATTAACTCATTTTAATTCTTGTTCAGCACTAAATTATTTATGTGAAATGTATTTCCACTGTACTGACAATGTAACTTCTGTTTTTTTAAATATAGCTATTTTACTCTTTACAAGGAAATAATGTCTTTGACATAAAACAGACATATTCACTGTTCTTATACAACCTACAACTATATAGAGTGCAATGCTCCTTTAACAGCGTTCACTACTACTGTGCAGTCAGCATTGATCAAACAGTTTCCTTATAACACTTTATAAATGTCTTTGTATTAAACCACAAACTTGTTCTTATAACCACAAGATCAACCAGAAGAATAAAACGTAGTATGAAGCCCATTTATCAGAGTGCATAATACATCAAGAGTTCAGTCCAGAAATCTCTCACAGGTCAGATTAGCTTCCCCACACACACTCCGTATTCCACATTAGCCAAGTCCGCTAGCATTAGCATCATTTAGCCTGCAGCCTTAACCCACAATTCAGACACAACTCAGAATGAATCCATTTCTTTAGCGAGTTGCGCTCATTACCCACATAAACAACATCGTCCGTTTGTAAGGTCTGCAGTATACATTCATTTAAATGCATTTACTAACCTGTGATAAAGAATAGAAAAAGGGACACACGTTGAGCTGATGCCAGTTTCACAACAGGAAGGTTTATTCTTCCTCTGTGCCCCAAAACGCTACTCGATACCACTGCGCGTAATGCGCCCTCTAGCGGCTGGATGTAGGATAGCATCTTAAATGACAGGTACAAAGATACAATCACAACAAAACACAACAACAACTGGGCTGTTTTCCCCAGTTTAATTCTGATACTAGATTTTACTAGAAAGCTATTTTCAACTCTCTACACTCTCCCCCACTTAAAAGAATGTCTCCTGACATTTGTTTCTTCATGTGTGGACCCATTAGTGTATGAGTGTGCAGTCATTGTGGTAGTACGGCTGAGAATAGATGGGGTGAAAGAATGATGGGACGCTGTGTGTCCACATCCAGGGTTGGCTAGCTGAAAGGGTGTTCATATCTGCCCTCCAGTGACAGTATGATGGCTGACCCAGTGCATTGTACGTGAGTCTTTCTGCTGGTCTCCCCCTCCTCTGTGATCTCCTTACAAAGTCATTTTCTCTATTTTCTCCATCCATTTCCTCCATGTCTTTTTCTGCTAACTCCTCGGCCTCCACAACATCTTGTTCTCCCCCATATTCTGGCCTGTCAAGAGGACAGAACTCTCTTGCTGCTGCCCGTAGCTTGGGCTGACTTTGAGAATCCTGCTTTGGAATGACAGTTTCCTGTTGCTGAGGGTGCTCCTGTTGAATAGCAGGTCCTTGTTGTTGAGGGTTCACGAGTCTGTAGCATGGAATCTTCCTCCGGAGGTCATGGTGGTAGGTATAACTATCTTCCTCATCCGAGCTACTGGTCGCCGTTTCGTTGACATCTCTTTCAGGTTGTCTTTGCCTTTTTGCTTTTGTCTTTTCTTCCACAGGAAGTTCTTCCTCGAAAGGTAAGTCGTTTACTGGTAGTAGGAGGTTTCTATGAAGAACCCGCATGGCTTTACTACCTCTCTCTGGCTGTACCTTATAGACGGGTCCATCTCCCAATCTCTCCACCACGCGATGTACTACCTTCTCCCAATAGGCGCGCAGTTTTCCTGGCCCTCCTCTCTCTGACAAATTTTTCACCAGTACTCTGTCACCTGGCTGGAGAGTAATACCTCTTACATGTCTGTCGTACTGCTTTTTGCTTTTGGCTGAGGACTGTCGGCTGTTATTTGCAGCTATTTGGTAAGCGACTCGCATCCTCTCAGCCCACTTTTGGACAAACGTTTGGTGGTTTTGTGCCTCAGTGTCTTTCCCTTGGTGAAAAAGTAGGTCAACTGGTAGCCGTGGAGCCCTGCCATACAAGAGAAAAAACGGAGAGTACCCTGTTGCGTCATGTCTTGTGCAATTGTAGGCATGCACGATCTGAGGCAGGTGATCTTTCCATTCACTCTTTTTCTCTTCTTGTAGGGTGCGCAGCATTTGGAGAAGTGTGCGATTTAATCGCTCCACTGGATTGCACTGAGGATGATAAGGAGTGGTGCGTGAGTGTGCAATTCCTGATAGTTGTTGCAGTCTTTGGAACAGGCTGTTTTCAAACTCACGTCCTTGGTCGTGATGCAACTTCTCTGGATACCCAAAGCGAGGAATAAAGTCCTGAAATATCTTTTCAGCAGCTGTCTTTCCTGATTTGTTTCTCGTTGGGTATGCCTGCGCAAAGCGCGTGAAGTGATCAACGAGGACAAGGATATACTCATATCCTCCTTTGCTTGGCTCCAAGTGCAAATAGTCAATAGAGACCAACTCAAAAGGTGCACTGGTGGTGAGGGATCCCATTGGAGCTCTCTGTTGGATATTGGGGTGCTTCTGTTTAATACACGGGCATTTTTTTGTCACGTATTCTTCCACATCTTGCTGCATGTACGGCCAATAGAACCGTTCTCGGGCCAGATGGATCACCTTTTCAGAACCTACATGCCCCATGTCGTCATGTAAGCTTTTCAGTACCACTGATTTGAGCTGTTCAGGGAGGACCAGTTGTCGGTTTTGGTTTGTTTTTCGGTAGAGTAGTCCATTTTCTACTTCTAACTTGTTCCACTCATAGAGCAGTCTCCTTGTCTGTTTAGACATTGTTTTTTTATCTTTTTCATTTGGAGTCCAAGCTCTCAGTTTCAAAGAAATAACTTCTTTAATAGCTGGATCTGCTTGTTGTGCAGCTCTAATATCTCTGGGAATGATGCCTGAAACGCTATTGTGTGGTACAGCATTTCCATCATCACCATTTAGTTGCAATGCAGCCACCCAGGGAACATCATCGTTTTGTACCATTTTTGTCCCCTGCCACACCGCAGAGACCACCTCCGGTGACACCGTCTCTGTATGGTCACTCATCTGCTGCTGCAGGTTCACGGGATACCTGGACAACATATCGGCATCAGCGTTCCTCTTTCCTGGTCTATACTTAATGTCAAAATGGAAATCCGCCAACTCCCCAACCCATCTGTGACCCACAGCATTTAGTCTTGCTGAACTCAGGATGTAGGTCAAGGGGTTATTATCGGTATAGACCGTGAAAGTTGGTGCATAATACAGGTAATCCCGGAACTTGTCGCAAATAGCCCATTTAAGTGCCAGGAACTCAAGTTTGCCCGAGTGCAGATGATAGTTCCTCTCTGCAGGTGTTAAGGTCCTGGAGCCGTATCCAATGACACGCAGTTTGTTGTGTTGGCGTTGGTATAATACAGCTCCCAAACCTTCGTTTGAAGCGTCCGTGTGTAACACAAATGGAAGATCAAAATCTGGGAAGGCCAGGATGGGGGGGTTTGTCAACATGTCCACCAACCTGGACACCACGTTCTGATGTTCAGTAGTCCAAGTGACAGGTGAGCGAGAGGGAAGTTGCCCCTTGTTCCCTTTGGTCGCTGGACTTTTTCCCTTAACAGTCTGAGGCTTGATGGCATGACCTGTCTCAGCTGGGTTTTGGAGAATTTCAAACAAGGGCCTCGCCAGTCGTGAAAAGTCTTGGATAAAGGACCGGTAGTAACTGAGAAATCCAAGCAACGTCCGGACCTCTCCAACTGTGCGAGGCTTCTTGTCTTTCAGGGCTAGAACTGCTTCCAAATCCTTTGGATCGATCTGAATCCCTTCTCCTGACACCACTCGCCCGATGTACCGAATTTGTCTCTTAAAGAGCTCACATTTGGCTGGGCGAAGCTTAATGCCGTGTTGTCGCATCCGGTGAAACACTTGTCTTAGATGGTCTACATGTTCGTCAAACGTTTTGGAATAGCAAAGGACATCATCCAAATACGGCACGCAACACTCATCTCTGATGCCCTCTAACACTCCCTCCATGCACCTCTGAAAGGCAGCTGGTGCATTCGTCAGTCCAAAGGGTATTCGTACCCATTCGTAGAGTCCCCAGGGTGTGCTAAAGGCAGTTAGATGTCTTGACTCCTCACTCACAAACCCTTGATGGTACGCACTCCCTTGGTCCAAGATGGAGAACCATGAATTGCCTCCTAGGCTGTCCAACAAATCCTGGATCCGTGGGAGTGGATGGCGATCTGGGACGGTTTTGCGGTTAAGCTCACGGAAGTCAACACACAGGCGAAGACTGTTGTCTTTTTTTCGCACACACACTACAGGTGAGGAATGGGCAGAAACAGACTTCCTAATCCACCCCCTGTTTAGGAGATTTTGGATATACTCCTTCACCTCCTTAAACAGTGGCCGTGGAATGGAATTGTAGCTTTTTTGAACTGGAGTGTCATCAGTCGTATTGATTTTAAGCTGTAAGCCAGGGACACACCCAATGTCTCCTTCATCATGAGCAAACACGTCTGATTCCTCATAAAGCATTTGCCGTACCCTGCTCTGGTCAGGCTCCGGCAGGTGATCTAAATCCACATTTGGATGCCATCTTTCCTCCACACTGCCAGCCTGGCGATTTTCCTTCCCATTACTTTGTTCTTCACTGGTCGGACTTGTTTGGGTAGCGCACAGAAGGGTGTCATTGTGTGGTTCTCCAGGCCCCTGCATAGTTGGATGGATGTTTACAGGTGTGCTTTCAATAATTTCTTCAATGAATCCTAAGACTGCTTTTGGAGGTAAAAAAACATCATGCCTTGTTGAATTCTGGATTGGTATTCTCACTATTTTTGAGGCGCCAGCCGGCACTTCAACGAGCGCAGGAAATAACTCCAACCCATCTGGCAAGTGACTGTCTACATTTGGCTCAAACAACATGACTCCTCCTCCAGGAAAAGCTCTCATGCGGCATTTCACCTGACAGATCTGACTGCGGGGGATCGTGAGTCCCTTCTTTCCAACTCTTAATACTGGACATTCTGACTCTTCCAGGGGTTGCTTTGTGTGAACCACCGAAACAAGACTTTCAGCATTACTCTTCTGAATTCTCAGCGCTTCTGAAAGGAGACTCACTAAGTTGCCGTCATCTCTTTGATCACCATTCCCTGCAATCATCTCTTGTATCACATTAAAGCCTAGTAGCGGGCTGCTCAACCCTCCTCGACTTACTAGCATGGGAACATGAATAGCAACTGAGCCATGTCTGCTACTTGTGATCTCAAGAAAAACTTCTATCCACCCTTCAAACGGCACATCTGTCCCATTAGCTGCAGTGACTTTGAGTGGGTGATTTGAGAGTAGGCTTTCCAGTGGCCTAATTGTCACATTTGGCAAGGCCCTTTGCACCCAAGACTTCTCCACAATGCTTACTTGGGCCCCACTATCCAACAACATTTGAAGTTTGACCCCATCTAGATAACAAGTTACCATACACCTGCCCCCAATCAGCTGGGCAACACGCTCCCTTTTGGACACTTGACATGATTTGGGGGTCTTGGTTGAAGATGGAATTTTATCTTTGGGGTGCAGCTTCTCTGGGACTGGGGACTCTGCATTCTCCAAGGTCACTGGTGGTCCCTCCCCAGCGACCTCACCCGGTTTCCCGACAGAGTTCCCTTTTGTAAGCAGCCAATAGCTCTGTGTCCCTTTTTTCCACATCGGAAGCAGTGTGAGCAGGTGTCATTTCCTTGGGATACACATTGGTGACATTTCCCTTTAACTTCAGGCTTGGTTGACTGTTTTATGTGTGGCAAAGGGTTGTAGGTGTTTTCTGTTGCCACATTCACTACCGGTGTGATGGCTTTCTCCAAACTTTTGGCCAAAGATGACACTTGGGCTGTTAACTCCTGTATAGCACTGCGATTTGCCTGCACCTCTGCCTGCACTTGAATGGCATTCTGTTTGTCACTGTCCAGCTGGGCTGTATTGATACTGATTGCTTTTTGTTTGCATACCTGTCCCAACCTGGTTTTCCTCTCAGTGTCCTCCCTCAGTGATCTTGTGATCACGTCGAGTATAAAGTCATCAGTCACATTCATGTCTGAAATATGTGGTTGAAGATCTCGTCTGATGTATGAGCATTTTTCATTCATCCCCTGGTAAAGCGAATGAAGAAACACTCCCTGCACCAGTTTGCTATCATATTGGAAGTCTGTACCTTGTTTAGAAGCAAACATTATACGCTGCTTGACCCCCATTAGTCTATACATAAACTGTTGTGGGCTTTCTTTGTCATGTTGCTTTGCGTTACTTAGTTCCTGGAACAATTCAGTACTGCTCTTATCCCTAAGGTGTGCTTTAAGGAACCTTTTTAACTCAGCAAGGGTCAGGGTGTCTTTGGTCATGAGCATGTCTTTAAAGGTACCAGGCTTAATTATCTTGAGCACCGTTCTTAAGACCTCAGCTTCTGAGAACCCCTCAGCCAGACCTTCATCAATTTGTTTACATAGACAGTTAAAACTCAAATCAGAAGCTGAGTCTGAGATTTGACCACCATGTATCTTAAATTCTCTATGTGGTAACAATGCAGCCACATCTGTCAGTTTTACTAAACCAGTTACAGGATCAGCAATCACTGCTGTTGGGATACTCTTTTTCATTACTGATGCTACTACTGCTGGTTCAGTCTCTGATACAGAAACAGCATCCCCTTCATCAGATGCTTGACCAAGTTCAACAGTTACCTGAGGTGCTTGCAGGTCATCAATGAGGTCACGAAATGCAAGCAGACGAGACATGCCCTGATCTTCGAGGCTCTTCAGTCGTTTACTTATCAGAAAGTCAACAATAAAGTCAAAGAGCTCCACCTCAGTTGCATCCTCACCGGGAACATCTTCCACCTCTTCTTCTTGACACAATACTGCAAGTTTATGTAGCAGGTCCCTGTTAGCGGCTCTGGTCAGCTGATGGAGCTGGTTCTGGATCTCCCACTGTAGGTCGTGCAGAGTGGCCATGTCTGGATAC